ATAATTTAACCGCTTCAATGAAGCGACTTTTAAGGCACTCAGAAAAATAGTAAACGTAGCGTTAAAATTATGAAAGCTTCGTGAATTGTAGGAAATTTAACGTAGATTTAAAATATATAAGCAGTTAAAGGCTTATTTTTTTCTTTTATGAATAAATCAATTTTTTTGGAGCCTTGCATAATTTAACCGCTTCAATGAAGCGACTTTCAAGGCACTCAGAAAAATAGTAAACGTAGCGTTAAAATTATGAAAACTTTGTGAGTTGTAGGAAATTTAACGTAGATTTAAAATATATAAGCAGTTAAAGGCTTACATTTTTTTCTTTTATGAATAAATCAATTTTTGATACCCCTTGCATAGTTTAACCGCTTCAATGAAACGACTTTCAAGGCACTCAGAAAATAGTAAACGTAGCGTTAAAATTATGAAAGCTTCGTGAATTGTAGGAATTTTAACGTAGATTTAAAATATATAAGCAGTTAAGGGTTTACATTTTTTTCTTTTATGAATAAATCAATTTTTTTTTGACCCTTTTGCATAATTTAACTTCACGAATGAAGCGAAGCATTTTGTCACGTGATTAATATTTTCCAATAGAAAGTCATGCATTTGAGGTGGACATCGAAAGATGGTGTTTGGCGGTATTGACGGGATAAGCCCGATCAGCCACACGTTGTTGTATGATTTTTGTCGCGGTCCATTATTTTGAATAGTACAATGATATTTATAGTATATGACAGTTATTAGTGACAAAAAGGAGAATTGTATCGATTACAGGTAATGTGTTGTTTAAGTAGTTGTTTAGAATAATCAAACGTTAATATTATTTCAGTAGCATTATGCCATTATGGCGACCAAAGGTTTTCTTGAAGAGTGATGGAAACGACGCCGGCCGAAATGAAGCATTGTGATTTTGAATTTAACGCTGAACGAATTCAACAATTCAAATTTGCAAAGTATGTAATATTTCGCTAGATGATGAGAATTCAGATGTATAGGAAAACGAAGTCAAGCTAGCAAAATTGTTAAAAAGGTGGAAGTTACTACAGCTCGTACCAATATAAAAGGTAAAAAATATATTGATGAACTTTAGAATGTACAGGGTAAGTCAACGATAGAGTAAGGTCATTATCTCCTTTGTTCAGAGATTTACAAAAAATGTTAAATATAAAAGTTATAGGGAGGGTTAAAATACACATTTTAAAATTATTGTGGAATATACAGAGTGCTTCAAAAAAGTGTTGCGGATATAACATATTTTTTTAAATGCAACACCCTATTTTTTATTTTATTTTTTAAATTCTAAGTAAAATTAATTAGGTGGACTAAAAAAAATTAGGTGGATATTAATGAAAACAGTGATTTTTCAGCATAAGTTAAAAATTGGGACCCAGATAAATGAGGACACCAGACACTTCTTTGGAAAGCTAATTGAAATTGCTAAACGATGGTCATACGAATATCCTCCGTCATTAGTTCACAGAACTGAATCCTTCTATCTGGATCGTCGCCAAGTTCCTGCAGAATCTTCATTTTGTAGTGATGGAATTTGTACATTTTCAATACTCTTCTGACAGATGGTATACTTGTGATTGATGCCAACTGGCGTGTTGATGCTTCTGGATTGACCGATACCTGACCAATAACTTCCATCATCTGCATTTCTTCATTCAGTACCCTGGGCACTGTCCATTTTTTATTTTTCACCGATCCAGTTTCTTGAAACTATCTCTAACATAAACGTGACTTACGTTTTTGTCCGGATTTCTGTCATTGAAAGCTTATTATGTTCCCAAATTGCACATACCTTCAGCACCATACAGAAGAACTACATATTTGAATGCTTTCTTCCACATTATAAACCATTTGTCTTTCAAATAATAATACCACGAAATTTGCAAACGATTGAAAATCGATAGAAGACAAAAAAGTGCAAAAAACGCAAAGATATGCCGTTTTAAGATTCCTGTTTGTTGAAAGTAAAAAAATAGATGATAAGGAAGAATTTGCGTTATCGCAAAATTAGGCTGAACGATTAGTAAAACATCTTTGTGTTGCCTTTTTTATTATCTACATTTTTTTATTTTTAGCTTCCAATGGCAATGGTTTCAAAATGGCATTGATAGGATGGCACAATCTAGGGGTAAATAAATAAATAAATAAATAAATAAATAAATGCCTTTATTGCCAAAAAAATTTGCAATTTGTAGACAAAGGTACAAAACAAACAAAGTAAAAAAAACAAGGGACACAAACAAAAGATAATACAAAACATTATACAAATAATATTGTCAATCTTATTGTTAAAATAAACATTTATAAATGTTTACAATGTCAAAGAACAAAAAAAAATAAAAATAATATTCAAAAATATTTAGCTAGTTTATAGTAAAATATCAATGACCTCTAAATAAATTCATTTCGATTTCATTAGTAAATATAGTAATAGCCTTGTTTATATATTAATAGTTAGTCAATGTGCCTGTATAAGTCGATGCTGCCAACTGGTGGCAGAAATTAAAACGTAAAAAGGGGGCGGAGACTATTGAATTTGGCAAAGAAGTAGGTACTAGGAATTCTTCGAATTTAATTCTCGGTAAAGGATAAAATATCTTATCTGCTTTGAACCGAATTTTTACCTCAAAGCGTTATTTACATTTTTTATTTTTGGATATGGATTTATATTTATTTTGATTTTCATGGCCCCTTGTTAAATACTAAATTATTATATTAGGTATATATATATATATATTTTAATTCTAGATGGATAATTAAAAAAATATATGAAACTATACCTACCTACCTCTGTAACTTTGTAAAAAGTATGACGGATTTAACATAATGTTTTTTTTTAAATGTAACATCCTATTTTATTTTAGATCCTGCGTAAAATTATTACTTTTTTATGTATAATCCTTGTATAATGGTGTAACCTAAAACTAGTTTTCTAATATTTCAATTTGTTGATGAAGAAAAAATATTAGATACTATGTAGATATTTAAGGCAGATGCTACAGGGTGTTCAACATATATTAATGGTTAATTCTACGTATTTAAAATTAAAAAAATATCTGCAGACTCTTTCAATGACACAGCCTATACTGAGTGTTTTTTTTTAAAGTGGTTCACCTCTATAACTTTTTTATTTTTTCAGATTCCGAGAAAAAAACTAAATTGGGAATGTTAGTAGGTATATGACATAAATCGAGATTGATTCGTATTCAGTTAGTTTCGGTCACTTCCTGTTTCACCGGAAATGTATACATTTGATTTTTAAATGGTACCCTCGGTATTTTTTATACCGTAAGATCGAATAAAAACGGCGTCAGCGATGGCTATGAAATGAACATCGATGACATTTCTCATATAAATTTACATATAAAATGACAGCGCTTTTCATTTCATAGCCATTGCTGACGCCGTTTTTATTCGATCATACGGTACTTTATTTGATAGAAAATGACATTCTGAATAGAATGACAACTTTTGACATCAACAATCATATGTCAACTTTTGACATTTTCAATTAAATCAAAAATAGCATTTTAAAATTCAATCTAGTGTCATGGCTGTGTTAAAACCATTATTTTTTAATCAAGGATTAATCAAGGAGCTTTGGAAAAATTGATTTGGTCGTCTAATATTTTTTGTGTCTTTTCCTGGTCAGTTGAAATATGCCCATTTCGTATTTTAATCATAACTCAATTTTTTTTAATGAAACGAGAGTGGCTCATTAGCATATTTGGAAAAGCATTTTTTGATACCTAATAAATTTTGGTACCTAATTTTGGTAAATAATTTGGTACCACACACTCCGTATGTCGAGTCAAACTGTCGTTATCTTTACGACCGGTTACATGTTGTTTATTATCATGGCACTCTACTAGATTGAACTTTAAAATACTATTTTTTAAGTAAAAGAGTCAAAAGTTGACATTGAATTATTCTATTGAGAATGCCATATTCTGCAAAATAAAGTAAAAAAATACCGACGGTACCATTTAAAAACCAAAAGTTGTAGTCATTTCCGGTGAAACAAGAAATGACCGAAACTAATTGAATACATCAATCAAGCTACTTTTGAAAAACACCCGATATATTATAATTCTTTCTGATAGATTTTACAAAATCCTTCAACTTCTATTAAGAATGTCATATAACTAAATAAATCACTTTACTTAATGTTTAATAATAAATAATTTTTGTTTTGTCATATGGCAACTTGTTATAATGTAAATGAATTAAAAGAAGGATAAAATTCAGAACAGATTGCAAGCTGTTGAGTATAGGTGTACTTAATATACTTTCTTAACAAATGTTGAAAGGTTTTGTAAAATCACTAGAAAAAATAATAATATATATATCGGATCAGCCAAAAAAAATGTTTGAACACAGTGTAGCATCTAACTGCAAGTATTTTTACATATAAATATATTTTTTTTTCATCTCTGTAAAACACTCCTACCAAATTTGTGTAGTCCAACTTCGGAAACAACTGACAGTTAAGTAACATAGGAATAAAATTTTACTTTTTTTTTAAATTGTAAATACTTACTAACGTTATTTATAAAAAAAAGTTATAGAATTTTAGGCAGAATCGAAAATAAAATAAAAATGGAGTTTTGCATTAAAAAACATGTATCCGCCACATTTTTTGAAGCAACCAGTATACTCAAAAATAACATTTGAACTGTGTCTCTAAAGATTCTCTATACCCTTTTTTTTATTTTTTTGGAATTCCCAAAACAAACGAGATAATTAACTTTATTTCTTTCGTGATATCTCATTTTATAATATTTCGGAAGAATTAATCAGGTATCTTATTTTTATAATTATTAGAAATAAATCGGAATTAAAGGATAAGGGATATGTAAATATATACCATACGATAAAAAAAAACGGCCTCAGAGGTGGTTTGGAAATGAATATCGATGTCATTTGTACGTAAACAAATAGACGCCGTTTTTTTTCGCTCATACCGTATAAGAAAAAAAATTTAATAAAGCAAACGCATTTATTAATACATGTATATAGATTTACATGGTATGAAGAAATTCGCATTATGATCTCTGAAGGTCCCACCAATGCTTGGTTAAAGTGGCGAGTACGACCACTTAGCAGTCACACCTATAATAATTTAATAAAATATGAATATAATAAACAAACTTATTTCTTTTAGATTTTTTAAAAGCGAGTTATATGTGTTAAGTGGTTTTTGATTATTTTAGGCTAAATTTTTTAGACATATTATTTTAGACCAAATTGTCTGCCCACTCAAACGTCTTTAAAATTATAATGTAGGAAATTCTTAATATGTTTTAATTGGGAATACTTTTAGAAAGTTTCATTTTCACCAAAAAAAACTACGTATGTATAATAAATTGCAGTATAATCAACTATAATGCATGATATATACTAGGGGCGTCAAAACTAGATGTTGGGTTTTTCTCGATTATTTCGAACAGAACTCCAATTTTTTCTCAAAATTTTTTCCAACTTTGTTTTGAAAAATAATTTTTAAATCCATAATCGATATATATACAGTAATGTCCTCTTTTAGAATACATAATTATTTTCAGCTGCATCGATAAAATAAATCATATTTACTGATGCCAAGTAAAAAAATAATTAGAAAATTATTTTAAACATCTAATTCTTAATTTTTGTCGCTGATAAATAGATACATCACTTTTGTCGACAAACCTGCTAATAAAAATTGCGTAAAAAATCATGTTTATTCGCAAAGAGACAATTGAAAACAATTCAATAACTATTAATTTGGGATATAGATCTTAATAAACAAAAGTTGCATAAAAGCTTTGTTGATTTATGATATAAAATACAGTGTTTCATTTGAAATAGCAAAGAAAAATATAATATCTAGTTTTGACTCATCCTGTATATAATAATCAATTTAGTCTATTTTAATATTATTATATGAATTATATAATTATTAATTATTAACTTAAATTAGTTCCAGTAAAAAACGTCGATATTACCTATTTTTAACTTAACTTAGAAAGAGAGGGCTTTAAATATATATTTTATTATATAAACAATAAAATTCAATCCAAAAAGGGTCAAAATATATTCTTTGGTCAAAATGAACTCTATACGACTACGACATTATGGTATTTTTTGGAATGACAATTTAATAACAAATCCACCAAGCAAAAATACAAAATATAGCCTTTCTTTTCACAAACTCATAACCTTTGCTCATAACTAATAACTTTAAAAGTAAATATATATTTGAATCATCCTGTATATCTATAAAAATACCTCCCTGTCAAATTTACGCTACTTTTGCAAGCATATTTTACAAAAAATATGATTTGAGTGAAAATATAAAATAGGAAATCTGATATGAAGCTTTATCTAAACACAGGGTTGACTGTAGATAAAAAATATTTTACGTTATCAAGTTATTAAGAAAAATTCTCGGAAAAATTATAAAATACACAATATATCTGACAATTCCAAAAAAGCAAAGTGAGAAATGAAACAATTTATAGCATAAAATCAGTATTTTTTTAAACTTTTAAGCAAACTGGGCATTATCGTTTAATCTATCTATCAATCTATCAAATGTTTATTATTAAACTTATCTCAGACTCTATAACATTTTTCCCAAGAGTGATTTAAAACAAATTTATATGAATTTAGAAATAAATATGAACAGTATTTACTTACCTGTAAAACAGATGCTTTTTGCTTAATTAAATATGTTGGAAAATATTATCCAGTAGGTACAAATACACAACACTTAAACACAACAAAATAAACTAATAAAATAATAGTTTCTAATCCAAATTTCACAAATACTGTTTATGTTTCTTCGCGAGGGACGAAAAAACTGAATTTTTTAATTACTCAGATATGCATTAAGGTATATTTCAATTCAAAAGCTTATAAATATTTATTTTTATAAGACATAACCTAAACGAAACGAAATTACAAGTCGAGAAAGATCAACAAAACTGCCGAATTTAGAAGCGAATATAACTTTTTTTCCTTTTTTCTTGTCACAGTTGAAACAAACAAGGATAAAGCTATTTTCGTAAAACATGGGTGAAACGTGCTAATAAGTGGCCCAATAGATGTGACCTCGCGCCCTTCCATTTTTGAACGATGGGCGGGTTTAACGGATTCCCCTCAAAGAAAATCGTAGGGGAATACAAAAATTCAGAACGGGCAAGGCGCCACCTAGAAGACGGGCTTGTACTAAGCCCTCATTGTACATATATTTATACATAATCAAGGGTAATAGCAAACATTAGACCAGTGTTTACAAGATCAAATTTGATTTTCAAAATATAATTCATTTACGGCGTAGAAAGCCTTGTCTAGTAAATAAGAGTTCAATGCTTTGCGAAATGAAAAAAATGATGTTATGGATTTGATTTCAAATGGCAGGTGATTGTGCATTTTTTTCGAGTTGTATAATATTGAACTTTTTTAACTAACTCTGAGCGTGGGGTAGGTAGATAAAGATCTTGCTCCGCATTCCTGAGTGGATAAGTGTGAGATGGCCTTTCCTGAGAAGCTGATACATGTTTACGAATTAGGCAAACGGATTCAAATATAAATAAGGAAGGAAGAGTCAATATTTTTAATTCTTTAAAAAAGTCCCGGCAATGAGTTCTGCTGTTTAGTCCCAGTGAATATCGAACAGCTCTCTTCTGGAGCTTGAAAATGAGGTCAAATTGAGTCGCACAACACGTACCCCAGAATGGAAGGGCATACCTGAGGTGCGACTCAAAAAAGTGCATAATAAACAGTTCTAGCCACTGACAAGTTATGCTCCTTAGAAACAGACCTTAATGCAAAACAGGCAGAGCTAAATTTTTTCGACAAAGCTTCGATATGTATGTCCCATTTCAGAGAATTGTCCACAACAAGCCCTAAGAATTTTACAGATTTTACGACGTCAATGGTGGTGTTGTTAAGTACAAAAGGCTGCAACGAGTTTTTATACGACAAAGCTTTAGTTTTAGAAATGTTGAGACTCAGGAGGTTCAAATCGCACCAAGATTTAATGGTGATTAAGTCATTTGATATAATCCTATGAAGTGCCGTGATGTCCTTGTTGCTCCAAGTGTAGCAAGTGTCGTCCGCAAAAAGACATATTTTGCCACTGATGTTTATGTTAGCAATGTCGTTAATAAAAAGAAGAAACAAAATAGGGCCTAGTACTGAGCATTGTGATACTCCACTTTCTATTGACTTGCTAGAAGACAACGCGGTATCCACCCTCACTGTTGCTCAGATATGACTTAAACCATTCGAGAGATGATCCCCTGAACCCATAGTGCTGCAGTTTATTAATTAGGATCTTATGATTTACACAATCGAACGCCTTAGAAAAATCACAGAAAATTGTTGCTGAAGAATGATGGTTGTTTAGGCTGGAGTAAACTTTATTAAGAAGGGAAAACATAGCGTCGTTTGTGGACTTGTTGCTTAGAAATCCAAATTGATATTCAGTAAGTATTTTGTACTTAAACAGAAAAGATACCAGCCTTCTTTTAACCAACCTTTCTATGATCTGAGATAGCGTTGGAAGAAGTGCAATTGGGCGATAGTTAGAAGCTTCATCTTTGTCTCCTCCTTTATGCAGAGGAATGATTATTGCCGTCTTAACATATTTTGGAAAAATGCCATTTTGGAACGACATGTTTATTAAAGTTGTTAGGTGATTCAGAGTGCTTTCTGGCAGATTCGAAAACATTTTTAAAGTTAGCCCGTCGGTCCCAGAAGAGGATTTATTTTTTGATGGTATTATCGAACTGCGAAGCCCTTCTAAAACTACAGGGAAAAAAAGAAACTGTGTAAGTTTACATTATCATTAGAGAGATAAGAAAGCGGATCATGAGGGGGACATATGATATTATTTAAGTTTTTCGCTACATTTACAAAGTAATCGTTAAGGTTCTCAGGTGAGGTAGTGATATTGCTAGACGAAGAAGCTTTGTTTCTTAATTCATTCACAATATACCATGTTTCTTTAGCAACATTACCAGAATTGACTATTCTCCTATTATAATAAAGGTCCTTAGCGGCTCTTATAGTCTTATGATAAATTTTTCTGTATAGTTTTACGTAATTGTGGAAGAAAAGACTGTCTGAGAATTTTTTTTAGTGAGATAATGAACGCATGTTTTTAGAAGGGTGGGTCGGGGTGGTTTGAAAAATACTTCATTTGCCTCATTCAGCTGGGTCCCAATTTGTAACTTATGCTGAAAAAATCACTTTTTTCGTTAATGTCCACCTAATTTTTCGTGTAGGGGGTAGTTTTTCAATTTTACCCTAAAAACTTTATGATCATCGTTTAGCATTTTTCAATTGGCTTTCCAAAAGGGCGCCACAAGTGGGGTGTTGCCATTTAAGATTTTCAAGTGAGTAGGGGTACCGCCTAAGGGGTAGGAAGGGGTGGTTCAAAAAATACGTCATATGTATTCCCCCTCGATATTATAGAAACGGTATTTTTTATTTTTTTGATATCTTTTTTGGTTTAAAAATTATAGCCATTGTAAGTTTTCAGTGGCCCACCCTGTATTATGTAGCAAACTAAACATTATGTCCCCGGATTGTCTTTACAAGAGGAAAAACTTTTTAATATTGACTTTTTGAGAAAAATGCATTCTTCTTAAAAACCTTTGCCTGTTCTAAAATGGTTAATCTCGTTTATACTTTTCCAAATTTCCATACCGTTTTAAAGAAAATTTAAAATAAAATATGAAACTATTGTTGAAGTCCTAAAAATCAAAAAGCCTTTCTATGGTAAGTATGGTAATTCTGGAACTTCGACATAAAAACGTTACGCTTTCAAAGCGGTAAGCGAAAGTATTCGATAATACCTGGTTAGACAGAAGTTTTGTGAATGCGAAGCAGTCGATTTTGGTATTCTCATTGCAGTGCGAAGCGTTTTCTGGATACGCGATGAGCATATATTAGCAGCATCGCAATCGTTATCTGCTAATCACTGTTTTCATCATTCCGGATGTTGCTAGATTAAGCAGCAGTTGGTTAAAACGAATTTTAATCATCTGCTGATGATGCTAGAATGGTTAGCGAAACGCGCGTCCAGTGTAAAAGTAATGCCCGGACCCCATCAGCCAACACGCTACGCCACGCGATGCCATGCTACCCACATCGTGAAGATCAGTGCGTATGTTTTTCCATTTAATTACATGTATTGCGTACACACTAGGAACACGCCACGCTACCCGACGCTATATCTGCCTCGATTTCTCTAATTAGCGTATGAAAGGCACCATATTTATTGCGTTTTTTGTTTATTTTGTGTACCCAAAATCCTCTTTTGTTTACACTTTCTAATACAATAGCTGTACACTTCACTAAAAATTCTTCGTCACTGGAAGAACTGCTTGAATCAAACGTTACTTTTCTAAAGGTTATTTTCGAATGCAATAGAAAACAAAAATGTTTTTTGAGTGTTCAATCAGTAAGAATACAAATTCTATTATTAATTTTAAAATTTAATAATCAAAAATTAAGGAAAGAAGGTTAATGGAGATTGTGAAGTTAAGGTTGGTATTCAGATTATAACATCCAGAACGGTATGGCCATCGGAATACTCTAGTATTTTCGTATCCCTACTGACAACTTTTTAACTCTAATAAAAATATCAGGCGTGTTACCTAATGTGTACACCCATTCCCACGTCACAACACGTGGGATAGCGTGGCATCGCGTGGCATCACGTCGGGTGTTGGCTAATCGGTTCGCGGCTTAAAAAGGTTTTGTTGATTATGGGATGATTAGTCGTTTAATTTTGTTTATACCATGACTACCGACTTCTCTGGTAATATAATGTATTTATATATAAATATAAATAATTAATATGGCAAATAAATAAGATATCGATATAGAATATAAATTAGAAAACTAACAAAATATATGACTATTAACAAAAAAATATTTAAGTTTTTTTTTTATTTGTTTAAATATTTGTAATATTGACCAGAAACGAACCCAAAAGAAATTATTTTTGTTATAAAATAGTAAAAAATCATGAATCTTAAAAAAATTTTATTAGAAGTATTCAAATACTTTTTCATCATATTTTATATTATTTCGTATAATCTAAATATTCTAACAATTAAAATGAAACAAAAGTATTTTATTTTTGTTTATTTTTTCGAAATAATTATTTTTTATAAAATTATTTTAATTTTTGTATTTTTCTAATAAAAACAACGGTTGATAGAAATAATATATTATTTTAGAATAGTAATAAAGCTACTTACACAGATAATAATTTACTACGGGAAAATTAATTTAAAATCTATAAAATAGACATATAAGAAAGCTAGCTAACAAAAATACATCTAAATAAATATGTTTGATTTTAATACATATAAACAGAGTGTGTCTTAAATAAGTAAAAACATTTTCAGGGCTGGTAGATCTCTGATAAAAAGAAATATAATTTCTCTTTACCGTTTTTCATAATCCAAAATAACTGAGTTATTTTGAACTTCCAAAAAAAAAAGGACTGTTTTTTGCTTTAGAATTTTAGAACCACTGGATTTTTTCTGGATGTTCTTTCTTGTACATTACTATTTACTACCTATGTTGCCATATTATTATCAAGAAATTATGTTTTTAATTAAAAACTAAAAAATCATAAAAAAAAAAAAAAAAAATCGCGAAAAAAAACGAATATCTACACCTAAAAATATTTTTATTTCAGACTCACTCTGTATATATATTCAAACCAGGTAAATCGTACCTTTATAATATGCACTTATAGGCCCGTTTTTTATCTTGTCCATTTTGACGGCAGGTTTATTTACGAATATAGTTTGAAATGATCTGTTTAACGTACTTGAATATACAAATGTAAATGGGTGCCAATAGATTGTAAATCACGACATAAATTAGTTCGGAGGATGTACTAATAAGAGCCATCTAATTTTAATGCACCTGAACAAATAAATTATTTTAACCTCTGTAGTTTACAAATGTATGTTAAAAAAAGCAAAATGAATAATTAATTTTCTAAACTAGTACTTTGAAATATTCAGTCTATTTCATGCATATGTGAAGATTTTTTTTATAGATTTTTTTTTTTTTTTAAATGTAGTTTTTTAATGCAATTATTGAACTTTTAAATATTCATAGAAAAATATCCATTATTGAATAGTTTAGAAGTTTGTTCCTTTATTTTTTTGCTCAAATTTTTTAATATACATTTCGTTGTTAAAGAACCA